GTATATACATTATTATTTTTATGCATTTAATGGTCATAATGAACAATTTGTTAACAAAAATGTTCATAAATAGTATTAAATATTCATTATATATGACTGTAAAATATATTAAACTAATATTTTATTTTAGATTGCGTAACTTGCCACTGCAATTTTTTCAATGAATTGTGTATCCTGTTTATTCTCATCTTATATTTTAGTACAATAACCTTTTCAGAAATAAATAAAAGTACAAATTTAGTGTTATTCTTAACTTTAGTGTTATTCTCAATTTGAGAATTAATTTGAGTGTTGATTTCAACTTGAGAGTAACACTCAAATTAACTCTCAAGTTGAGAATGACACTGGAGTTAAGATTCAAGTTGAGAGTAACCCTCGAAAAACTGAGTGTCACTCTCAAGTTGAATGTCACTTTCAGGTTGAGCGTTCGAAATAGTATATTAGCTAACAAGTGCAGGGAATCGTAAATCGGCCGAGAGTGAGAAAGTTTGGCGCACGAGGCGAAGCCAAGTGTGACAATCCGCACGATCAGCCGATTTATGACCCGCACATGTTAACTACGATATTTTGTGTGACCGGTGCGTGGAAAGGGAGCTCTTTCTAAAATTCCATCATATGCGTAAAGAGCGATTTTTCGTGCGCCGGTTGCACAATAAGACTTAAAATAAGTGTTTTTTGAATGTCTTTCCCCTCAAATAACACTCAATTGAGTGTAATTTTCAGTGTTTTTTCCGTATCACATTATTTTGCGTATCAATTCCCTTGCTCGGCTCTTAATTAGCCCATTTTGATACATTATATTTTGCTAAGATTATAGAAAGTTACTATTATTCGATTATATTACATTAAAAATATTGAAAAAATATCAAACAATTAAAAGGCAATAAGAGCTAATTAAATCAATCAGTAATTCATTAGTAAAAAGATGTATAACATATTAAATAACAGACAAAAATAAATTCGAACGTTTCGATCAATTTTATGATCTTCTTCAGCGACAGCAAAATAATCTTAAATTGATAAACTAATATCTTATGATATATTAATAAGTACAAATTCATCGTTATGATCATTGCTCATCAACAAATATAAATTCATCGCTTGATATTATTTAGTAAAAACAAAGGAATCTTAACGTCAAAACGTATAAATTTATAAATAATATCTATCCTTACAAAAACGTCAATTCAGTTCTTTAGCGTGTATAATTAAAAATAGAGGTTATTAAAATTTAACATAAATTAATTATAAAAGTCATTATACTAAAAATATACAAAGTCAAGATATTTAATTTAAAGCGAAAGCAACGCATTTGTGAAGCATGAGCATTATTTGTATATAATCTATTCCTCAAACCGTCATTATATGTGATTGTCGCGAAACGGATCTCTCCCTAATTGTTCCGTTAGGAAGTCGGTTGCAAATCTCGATAACTTCCATTGTTAATATGTCTATAAAATCAATACGAAAATTAACAATGCAGATAAATAAAAATAAAAAATAGATTTACAGTTAAATCAAGTGAGAAGTACTATATATATATATATATCGTAACTAACAATTATACACAATGTCAAAGGAATCTAGTAGCGAAAGGAATTATTAAGAAAAATTTTAATTATTAATAAGAAAATATAAAATATTTTTAAAAAATTGCGGGTAATTAAGGATTTTATAATAAATATTTTATAAGAACTTTATTAATAGTTCCTTGAATATGCAAAAACCAACTCCGAATAACACATTAAAATATGTAATATAATATGTAATGTATAATATAATATAATATTATGTATTGTAATATTAAAATATATTACATTGTGATTAATTGTACATTCTATTTTAATAGTTTTTAAATTATTATATATTACTAAAATATTTATGAAAACAGAAGGAATAATTATATGTAAGTATTTTATTTAAATTTATATATATAAACTACAAAAATGATTATGTGTAACAATTATAAGAAAGAATGATGTAATGTATGTAAAATTAATTTTATATCTATAAAATTAATTTTATATTCTATTTATAGAAGAAACAAAATAAATATGCGAACATTGATGAAGAAATATGCAATTATTTTTTCTTCCTACGATATAAAAACATGTCATATAATCTTAAAACCTATGACTGGTGCTATTTTTTCATATCTATATTGAATTTTAATTATATTTCTATGAAGATTTTTTTCTAATCTAATTGTGTTATATTCTTTTACTTAAAAATAAAGACCTTCTTTAGAATTTTGTAATATATTATACAGGGCGATTCACGTAACGGTCGCCACGATTTTTGAGACATTTCCGCCAGTTTAAAAAAAAATTCATACAGTAAAACTTAATCTACTTTACGCAAGCTATAACATGCAATAAAAAAATTTAAAAAAATTTTTTTTTTTATAAACAAATTAATGTCACGTTGAATTTTTTAAATGGAACCATCATATTTTTTTACACAAATTGATTCCTTACAATATTCTGCATAAAAAATTATAAGGATAGGATGGTCAAAAAGTGAATAGTTTACGATATATTTTATATTTTAATGTTATAAAGGTGGTCCTCGTAACGATCGCCACGATTTTTAGGGAATTTACAATAATCTCATAAAAAATGTCATTAATCAGAAATTTATCAATTTATAACCGTCAACAAATTTAACAATAATTTAATTATTGCATACAATGTTACTTTATGTTACATTTTAATTCAAAATTAACAATTTTAAAGCTTCTACAGCGTAATTCTTTGCTATCAAGGAAGTTCTCTAAAAACATAAATAGTAAACAGACTCGACTTTGTCTTTATGTTACCATGTAGCTTAGCTATTAATTTGATCAAGAAATTTTTAGTATCAGTTTATCTAGTATCAATTTAGTGTGTCTAAAACCTGATATAATGAATCACTATTGTAATACGGAAAAAGTAGATATGTTACTAGTATTTGGCGAGTGTAGAAGAAATGCACACAATGCAGTGGCTTTGTACAGAGAATGATATCTCTATAAAGTTCATCCTTCTGCAAAAAGTTTTTATAATACTGAGTGTTCTTTACGTTTACATGGCACGTTTCCATCTGGAAAACGTGTCAATCGTACTAGGCCAGTTACTAATGATAACAACGCTGTGTTAGTACTGGCGAATTTTGAAGTTAATCCGCATATTTTTACTCGAGCAGTCGCTGCAGAAATGAATATATCACATTGTTAATTTTGAATTAAAATGTAACATAAAGTAACATTGTATGCAATCATTAAACTATTGTTAAATTTATTGACGGTTACAAATTGATTTTCTGATTAATGACATTTTTTATCAGATTATTGTAAGTGCTCTAAAAATCGTGGCAATTGTAACGAGAATCACCTCTTTATAAGATTAAAATAAAATATCTCGTAAACTATTCACTTTTTAACCACCCTACCCTTATAATTTTTTATGCAGAATATTATGAGGAATCAATTTGTGTAAAAAATATGATGCTTCCATTTAAAAAATTTAAAGTAACATTAATTTATTTATAAAAAATTTTTTTTATTTTTTATTGCATGTTATAGCTTGCGTAAAGCAGATTAAGTTTCACTGTATGAACTTCCTATTAAACTGGCAGAAATGTCCCAAAAATCGTGGCAACCGTTACGTGAATCACCTTGTATATAGATATATACTCTACAGAACAATTAGCATATATATATTTGTCATCTGTGTTTTATGTGTGACATGTGTTTATATTTATATTTATATACATAATTATAATTATAATTGTATATAACAGTTGAGAATTTAATTTATATATAATTATATATATACATGTCATTAATTTGAGAAATTTTAATTATTATTATATTAAAATATAAGAATTTTTATTGTACAAAAATAATGATTCAAAATATATTATTTTTAAAATATATATTATATACATAGATGATATAAAAAGTATAATTTTATCATTAGAAAGAAATATTTTTATCGGCTCTCAATATTAGTAATATAAATATGATGTTTTTAAATCGGCCAATAGAACCAAAACACGAAAAATTAATTATTCGGAACTGTATCTCTTGGTTTGAGATCACTAAATTCCATATATAAATTATTCTCGAAACTTACATATGGAGAAATAGGCGCGAAAAATATAGGTTCGAAAAGTCGCTGAAGCGGGAATCGAACCCGCGTCTTTCACTTTCCGGGCGACTGCTCTTACCAACTAAGCTATTCAGACCCTTTCGATCCTATATTTTTCATTTGCCTTTTAGTAGATGTTAGTAAATAACGCCGTTATTAGGCTAAGGCGTGAATAAAATCAGAAAAAAATCATCGTAAACCGTTTATCATTATTGTTAAAGTTATATATTTTATTATCAATTTTTCTTATTGTTCAAAATCTATCATAATTTAATTTCTTTATTTATTTCTTAAAAATATTTTTATTAATTAAACGCATATAATTATGTTTATATAATGAATATAATTTTACATAAACACGTATCAAATGATGCAAAAATATCTAATTTTTGTAGAATATATTTATATAATTATTTATTATAATTATTTATATTTATGTAATATATATATTGGTATGTTTATATAATATTATAAAATAAATTCTTAAAGATGTACTTTTAAATAAAGACGGTATAAAATTTAATTAAAAGAAATGCCATTAAAGAAATGTGACATTTGAAATATGACTGATGAACAAAATAAGAATCAAAAGTAGGATCATAAATGTGTCATGAATTCTAAATATCTACTTTATGTGTTTACGCAATTCTTTGTGCATTAAGAAAACAAATTCCATACTTCTTCGCCAATCTTTACATTTTATTTTGTTTTTGGTAAGAATATAATTAATAATTATTATATTATATTAATTTTGCATAAATTATTACATTAATTAGAACATATATTTTTCAAATTTGTTTTTATGATTATTTTATTACTTCATACAATTAAATAAAACATTTATCAGTAGTGTATGAAATTATTTTCAATGTTTTGCAAAATTATTTTAATAATTATTATCGTACTTTTTATTTTACAATGCTTCGTTAATAAATGATGCTATTTTTTCATTGTTCATTATTGTCTCATGAGTGCCTTCTACGTAATATATTTGTACTGCACTTTCCGTAACCTAAACAGAATATCTCTTATAAGAAATATCTTAAAAATGATAAAATGATTAAATATATTCAAATTTACCTTATATAGACCATAATCTTCTTCTATAAAAGTAATAGTCGCAAGTGTAGGTTTTAATAATATTATAGATGATTTAAGGCGTGGTAATGTAGATATATTATAATTTTGTATAGCAATTATATGATCGTAAATCGTTGAGCATAATATTTTTTTATTTTTAGCAGTTAACATATTGATCTCTTTCGAAAACTGAATAAATACTTCTAACTTTTCCTCCCATGCATTGCACTTATTCAGCTCTAATGCAAGCTATAAATAATAATAATATTATGTACAAAAATAGCGAAATAATCTGCATTTTAAATTAAAACAATGTATTTATATTGTATTCTCGCGTACTAAAAGTACTGAACGTCTTATATTCTGATTATCTAATTATTACGTCCACACTTTTTAACTAAATAAGACGAATTTTTTTTTTTTAGAAATTTAACAAGAATTTATTATTTTAAAACAGTTATAATCCTTATTATATTCAATTTATATGTATATTATGTATACAGAATGTCCTATTTTAAAGTTTACAGTGTTATATCGCAAACTAATAATTTTATTGAGAAATATTTCAAACAAAAGTTATATGGCTTTAACGTAAGACAGTTGCAAAGAGTAGACCTTGGATAATTATTTGAAGATTCACGAAGGTCACATTCAATTTCTTAAACAAACCTGCCTTTTCATCGCATTTTTATACCAGTTTATTTCGAGAGCTCTCCAAATCACTTTTCAGCAATCTTACCTTAATACTTTTATGCACGGAATAATGAGATCAATCAATTGGTGTAAAAAATACATAGTTGCTTTTAAGAAAAAGTACAAAACTACATGTTACAAATTACAATGCTTTTTTTAAAACAATTATCTGTTTTCTTTTTACACCAATTGATTGGTCTCATTATTCTATAAAAATGCAATAAAAAATAATAAGATAAGATTATCGAAAACTAAATATTTTACAAGATTTTACGTTTTAAGATCAAAAGATTGTTCTTCAAACTCAAAAAAGTACTTAAGAGAAAAATACTTCATTATGGTGTTTTGGTAAGCTCTCGAGATAAGCTACAAGAATATGCAACGAAAAGTAGTAAGTTTCACTTGAAAAATTGAAAGTAATCTTCATATGACTTTCAAACAACTATCCAAGTTCAAACCTTTTGCCACGTCCCGGTTAATGCCATATAATTTTTGTTTAAAACATTTTTCAGTAAAATCATTGGTTTGCGAGATATAACATTGTAAACTTTAAAATAGGACGTCCTGTATATATATATATATATATATATATATATATTAAAAATTTACAATTTTCGTGAAAATTGGTCTACAAATGTGGAAGTAGTTTGCGATTATACAGACAGAACAACTAATTTTCTGTGTTAAACCAGGTTTTATAAAGACTTTGAGGACCGCGCAAAACGCGGTCCAAAAAGCTATAATAGTATATATGTACATATATATGTATATATATATATATATATATATATATATATATATATATATATATATATATAATACATACTCTATTATTATTATAAATTGTGCTTATTTAACAAAACGTTATACTTCAAAACTTCTGTAATCTGTGAGATTACATAAAATAAAACAATTTATCTATTTTATCATTGTAACGAGTATATTTTAACTAGCATATTCTAATAAGTTGATTTACATGTTCTTTTCTCATGTTATCTGTATGTAAACACAATTACGTAAATTATTTTTGCAGTAAAAAGTGCAGTAAATAATATATTTTTGATATTTGACTAACCATTTCATTGGAAGATTCAATGTATAATTCTAACAAGCGACATAAAACGTCATTTTGTAGTTCTTGTTGCGAACTATTATTAAAAAATTTCTCAATCAAAATTTTTATTAGATTAGGAGCTCCATCTATAAGTATTAAACGTCCAGAAAAATTCCTCGCTTCTAATAATCTTGCTAATTCGATGGCAATTAAAGATCCAAATGAATAACCAACAATTAGAAATTTTTTTTGATTTTTCATCTTTCTCAGTACATGCTAAAAAATAACATATACATATATGAAATAATATGCAAAAAGGGACAAGCGTGCGTGAACGCGCGTGTGTATAATGTATAATCAAATATTATTTATTATTTAAATACACACACAGCAATTTAAATGAATATTTAAAATAGATTATCTAATAATTTCGTACAGGCAGAAGATATGCAGCTGATTCCATTATTGAATGAGTAACACCTGGCATATTCAGTACAGTGTGTTGCAAGCATATCGTTGGAAATTTAATTTTCGATTCTATACATTTATATACGCTTGCAGTGCCATCGATTCCTGGTATAAGAAATATTTCACTTTCAGGAATTTTTCTTTTTGTAGTGAGTTCTACATAAATATCTGAACTTAAATCTGAATCATTAAGTTTTCGCGTCACTGCTTTTAAATTCAAATTATTAGTATCAGCTTCAGTGCCATTGTATGTCTTTTCTTTCTCGACTGTATTTATCAGTTTTCCAAGTTTAGCAAAATTGAGATTTCGAATATCTTGTGCTGTCAATAAAATATCGAATTCTTTTTGCAACATCTGTTGAATTTCCACTGCCATCATTGAATCCATTCCTAGTTCAGCCAGCGATATATTTGGCGCTATTATGTTTAGATCTTTCAATCCTATTTTAGAAATTAAATATATATTAAGAGAGAGAAAGAATTAAATATAAAGAATTAAGATATGAGTTTAACCGGACCTTATACACTTAATCTTGAAACAGCAAAAAAACTATTAAAAAATATAAGTATTAAAGTTATTTCATGTTATCTTTAATGCAATTCCATTATTTTAATGTATCCTTAATAACATTGTTAAATAAAAAAAATTTTATTTTATGTATGAACGTTTTGTTATGGATTTTTTAATTATAACGAATCATTTCTTTATTGTCATCATTATAAGAGTCCTCAGTTCAAAGACTAGTTGGACCCATATTTTTATTCCTTCTTATCTTGGGCGAATTTACGTATTTCTAAAGTAGGTCTTAGACGACATTATTGCACAATATTATTGATCATTTGTAGATTATATAACTTTCAAGTTTGCGCAATATAGTATTGTATCAATCAAAAGTTTGTTAAAATATATTGTGCAATCTGAAAATATTGTATGGTCTGTAGGTATTATTGCGCAATATCGCTGCTAATGCATTGTTTAGACCTGATGTCATTAATATTAGTGTATAATATTATTGTGTAATAATATTGAGAGTCTGCTTCAATATTATTGTACAATTCTAGTTTTGAGACTTTCGCGGCCATTGAAATCATCAATGCAAAAGGCTTCTGGATGGATGCCGCGTGATTGAACAGCGTAATGCTGACGTTTTGCAAACGTTGCAGTTTGCATGTTCTGGCTGAGAGCTCCGATACTGACAAGGGAAGTTCGGCAAGTGTAAAATTCAAAAAAATCTGAAACTTTGTATAAGTTTAGAGTAGATGAACCTAATCACAAAACAATTTTTTTTAGCTGCTGATATTCGGTTTTAGGGGTGCAGCATCCCCTTAAATAAAATCGGTGTTTACGTTTTCAAGCGAATATCGCCGAAATAATGAGAAATATAAAAAAATGTTTCCAGCAAAAGTTTTATGGTTTCGAAAGCTCTTTATAATGGCATGATCATATTTTGCAAAAATGTTTAATTTTTCAAAATACCCCCACCACGTATCTTTCTTTTCATATTTAAATTTTTCTTGCAACTAAAATTAAAGTTTATTTCACGCCAAATTCAACCATATATAATAAAGTTGCGATCCGTAAACGTGTTTTTGAGAAATAAACTGAAAACATCCTTACAGGGTATGCTGTCAATTTTATCGGCCCGCTAATTTTGGCTACGACTTCTCTTTCTCCCCTTCTCTCTGTAATTTTTCGCAATACAAGATAACGATAAAACAGATGTTCGTAATAAATCTAATCACGTAACTGATTTTTGTATATTACACATTTTATAAATAATATAGTAGTCAAAATATATCGTAAGAGAAAAATCAAAGTTATCGATAAAGTAATTTCTGATTTAGACCTTTGGTAAGAAAAATTAAAGATTATCGTCTAGAATGAAATAAACACGGATGCACTAACGTATATGTAATATTTCCTGTTATGTACATCATTATATTTATGAGAACGTTATCAACTTTGAATAGTTGAAAGGTTGAAGGATTATCGAGATTGATGTGATGCAATAAAAGGGAAGATTATGGGAAGGCTATCTTTAATGTTCGTTTTCCTTATACAATTAGTATAAAAGCCATCCGCTTCTGCATTTCATTTATGTTATTTAATATATTGTACGTGTGATACTTTCTGTGGGAAAATTTTATATAACATTTATTCAAGCATTTATGTCAAAATGTTGGTCATAAATACGGCGAACGTTATAAATTTGTTAATTACAACGTTTCACATTGCAAATCTCGCTGTCACTCCTGTTAATCATCGTAAAGTAGAACTCCACGATGCAATTTCAAATTTAATAAGGGATTCTCTAAAAGACGATATTACGATTGAATATGATTGGGGACTTGATTTTGATGATCCATCGGAACCTCAAGCTGTACAGTTTGTAGATTCGTATGATCCTCATGCTGAAGAAGATAACTATGAAGATGAAGTTTGTATTGTAGATGACGAAGGTGGAAGTGTAGATTTAAATTATAAAAGAAAAGCGGTTGAATATTGGAACAGTGGAAAAAAAAGACGTTTATCCGTTTCTGTTGTACAGAATCGTTTTAAAAAGGTAAATTCTCATTAAAAAATAAGTACAATACTAACTAAATATAGATAAACGTGTATGAATATCATAGTGGATAATAAACAGAAGTCAGGAACAACGTTTCATGTCGCATGTTCATCTGCATTTGATTAATTTTCTTGTGTTTGATATAATCTTTTAAATATTGGATCTTTTTTCTCTTTTAGGTAAAACATGTTTCGCAATTGTACAGATGGCAGGAGTATTTAATACGTGGAGGGACAAACAGAGACAAATTGATATTCATTGCCGAATATGTATTAATAAAATTTCAAGAAACTATTGATAGAGGATCTATTATTCATGACATCGATTTGCGAAGGTGGGCGCTAGAAGCAAAGGAGCAAGTGAATTTTGCTACATTTAAAGCAGGACATTGGTGGATATGGAATTTAAAAAAGCTCATTGCATTACATCACGTAAAATAACGAAATTTAAAACGCAATCTAATTTACAAGCTGATGCACTGATACGTCAAAATGCAGAAGAATTTGTGACAAATGTAAAACCACATATTGCTATAACTGGTGAAGGATCAACTTATAATGCAGATGAAAGCGGTTTTAATCTAGAAATACATTCTGGAAGAACATTAACTAATATGGGAGTAAAGACAGTCGAGCTACTGTTCAATCTTTATCTTCTATAAGTCATAGTTATACTATTATGCCAATTATATCTGCGGACGGGTATCTTCTTTCGCCTCTATATATAGTCTTAAAAGAAACTACTGGGTTGTTTGGACCACGAGTAGAAGAAACTCTTTTTCGACCTGCTAATGTTTACATTGCGGCTTCAAAATCCGGAAAGCTCACAACCCAACACTTTAAAAATTGGTTTTTAGAGGTATATCTTCCAAATACTAAAGAGAAAAGTTTGCTGTTGCTAGATTCATGGACAGGCCATTGCCCGGAACAGTTAATAGAACTTGTACCAAAAGACAAACAAGTAAATATTTTAACAATACCAAAAAAAACAACTGCTTTTATACAACCTTTAGATGTTTTTGGCTTTAGAATCTGGAAAAATTTTATTCGAAGCTTCTCTGATAATGTTATTTTAAATAATTACGATATAAATTTACATTTACGCAATAACATTATAAAATTACAGTCTTTGGCACACAATCAACTTTCTTCTCCAAGATTTCGAAATTTATTTAAATATAGTTGGTATAAAAGTGGCTATTTATCAACACGGCCTGAAAAGTTTGAAAATCCAATCAATTACTGTTATTTTAAAGAAGAAAAACATATACCGAAATGCAGCATTTGTGATAAAATGGCTTTTATACGTTGTGCATGGTGCAAAAAATACTTCTGTTTTGAACACTTCTTTAAACAATACCATTATTGTAACAATTATATAGAATAAATAATATCTTATTTTTGTAAAAACTACTATATTATTTATAAAATGTGCAATATACAAAAATCAGTTACGTGATTAGATTTATTACGAACATCTGTTTCATTGTTATCTTGTATTGCGAAAAATTACAGAGAGAAGGGGAGAAAGAGAAGTCGTAGCCAAAATTAGCGGGCCGATAAAATTGACAGCATACCCTGTAAGAATGTTTTCAGTTTATTTCTCAAAAACACGTTTACGGATCGCAACTTTATTATATATGGTTGAATTTGGCGTGAAATAAACTTTAATTTTAGTTGCAAGAAAAATTTAAATATGAAAAAAAAGATACGTGGTAGGGGTATTTTGAAAAATTAAACATTTTTGCAAAATATGATTATGCCATTATAAAAAGCTTTCGAAACCATAAAACTTTTGCTGGAAACATTTTTTTATATTTCTCATTATTTCGGCGATATTCGCTTGAAAACGTAAACACCGATTTTATTTAAGGGGATGCTGCACCCCTAAAACCGAATATCAGCAGCTAAAAAAAATTGTTTTGTGATTAGGTTCATCTACTCTAAACTTATACAAAGTTTCAGATTTTTTTGAATTTTACACTTGCCGTACTTCCCTTGTGAGTCTTCTTGGGTTGTGGTCCTTATATATATTGTGGAAGTATTCCGTAGATGAAGATAGCACACTGGCCTTAATATACACTCACACCATTAGGGGGCGTCACAACTGAATACTTTTCCGTTATGATAGATGAAAAACCTCCCACAATATAAGGACCACAACTCAAGAAGGCTCAGTATCGGAGCTCTCAATCCTGAATATGCAAACTGCAACGTTTGCGAAACGTCGGCATTACGCTGTTCAATCACGCGGCATCCATCCGGAAGCCTTTTACATTGATTATTGTACAATATTATTGTTCAATAATATTGACCGTCTAAGACATGCTTAAAGATAAAGCAGCCGATGTCTTCGAGCAGTAATCTAGTATGGGCCTGCTCTAACAAATCATTTATTTAGCACAAATATATAATTGCTTGTGAACTCACCCATATTTTTTGCAACCGCTTCAAGTGGATTTGTTGCTCGGTCAGAATCTTTCTTTTTCTCTGCAACAATCATGCTACTTACGATTGGCCGATCTTGTAGCAAAAATACTTCTAATGTATTTAAGCAAGAGGATATTTCTTGTTGCAATGTACCCTCAATAACAAATTTCTTGTCAACTTTTTGCAAATCTGCGACAAGCCCAACATCACCAATAGCGCCCCATTGAATAGCCAAACTATGTAAACCTTCTTTCATTCTTCTTTCACAAATCCTTTCCATTACGGAATTAGCCATTCCGTAATTTGATTGGCCTGCATTACCTTTTCCACATGAAACAGAAGAGAAAACGACGAAATGTCGAAGTTGAGGGCAAATTTTTCTTGATAATTCATCCATTTTTTTTGTTGTCCATGCCTTTGACACGAAAGAATCTTCGAATGTTTGAGGCATTTGATGTTTAAATACACAATTTTTTAACACAACTGCGAGATTAAATATAGCATCTACAGGACCTTGTTCTTCAGCAAATTTTAATATAGATGTACAATCTTCGTTTTTTGAAGAATCATTAGCTATAATGATTTGTATATTTACACCGCAAGATTGCCACAACGTTACTTTTGATCGCTGATAACCATTTTTTATCCCAGTTCGCGAAGTCAGTACTAGATTTCTTGCACCATGTTGAATTAACCAATCAATTAATTCTAGACCAAAACCACCTAAGCCACCTAAAACGATGTAGCATTTGTGTTCCAAACAATAGTAGCGAAGATGTGCGAGTATAGGTGCATCCAACGATTCATCTTCTTTACGAATTTTTATCATTATCTGTAAATATTAATTCAAAATATATATATATATATATATACATTAATATTGTAGATATTGTATACATTACTATATATATGTATATACTATACATATACAGAGTGTTAAATTTTAAACGTAATAGGTGGAATATTTCGTAAACAATGCATTTTAGAACAAATGTTTCCTACAAAAGTTGTAGGGTTTCAAAGAAAACATAACATAATATGTTTAAAATCATGTGAAGAGATCATCTGTATTAACATTGAATGTATTTACTTATCGGCGAGAGCAAATTCTTTTATCCGAACGCTCCCGTTAGAATCAGCTGTTGTCCACGCATGTTTTGACAACAAGCAGCTGATCTCAACGTGATCATCGGAATTTCGGAAGGTTCAAGTCAGGGCGAGGGGTTTGCGAGCGCGGGGCTCGCGCAAGGGACAGCGATCTTCGCGAGTCAGTATCTCTCTGCGTGTCTTGCGTGCGAGTGATCTCCGTCGCTTAGCAATCTGATTTATTATTGCTACGTGTTCGTCAAAATTCAAGTGTAACTTTATTTGATTAATAATAAAACTCTTTTTTTGATTTCTATAATCGTCTCACTATTGTGACACCCTCGACGACACTCACATTCGGAAGGTGAAATATTCTCCGCGAGTTTGTGTACATTTTTGGTCCTTCGAGCCGGATGCGTCGTCGCCAGCTGCTGCATCTCTGGCACATCAAGGAGAAAATCATCCTGAATCATGAGTCTCGAGGTAGGCCTGCTGCGCATGCAGAATGATTTATACGGGCGAATTGCACGCGCGTATGAAAATTTACGAAAGTTGGGAACGGCCAACATTACTGTCGACAGTGTCGAGACAAGAATCGGCACGATCGACTCCAATTGGCAGAAGCTCAAGAAGCAGCATGACACGCTGATGTTAAGCCACTTGGAAACGTTAAAGACCCACGAGTACTTGAAGAAGGACTTCATAGCGGTAATGGAGGAAGCCTACGTGCAGCAGCGGGCGAAGCTCATGGAAACTTTGCGCACCTTGAAGAACGGTTCAGAGAACCGCGAGGGTGCCACGACCGCGACCACTGCACGTCGCACTACGTTACCACGAATCCAGATCAAGACGTTCTCAGGACACGTTCAAGACTGGCCAGCATTCAGGGACCTTTTCAGCTCGGTGGTTATTAAGGATCCGTCCTTGACAGATGTGGAGCGGTTTTATTACTTGAGATCGAGCCTGCAAGGAGAGGCGGAGGAAACGGTGCAGAACCTCACCATCACTGGCGAGAACTTTGGTAGAGCGTGGAAGGCACTCACGGAGCACTACGAAAACAAGCGTCACCTGGTGCGCGTGTGCTTCACGCTTTTCCTTACGCTCACAAAGATGAAGGGGGAGTCGGCACAAGAACTCCAACGTCTGTATCACCGCATCTCTAACACTCTCAGTCAATTGGAGACCATCGGGCGGTCGATTACGAATTGTAGCGACTTGTTCGTCATCCTCGTGGAGAAAATTCTCGACACGCGATCACGTCGCGATTGGGAGGAATCACGCGAGAATAGCACGGAATTGCCCTCGGTGGAGGAGCTGCAGGCGTTCCTCAAACGGCGGGCGGCTACACTCAAGGCCTTGTCACCAGTAAAATCTGAGTCTCATCCGACCAAGGTCGACTCAGGATCGGCTAAAACGGCGCGCGCACACCACACACAAAAGGAGAACACGCGATCAGGCCAGTGTCCTCTGTGTCCGCGCAGTCATTACATCATGCAGTGTGATGAGTATCGACGTAAGACCGCACAGGAACGGAAGTCTTTCATCGAGGATAAGAAGTTGTGCCTCAACTGTCTGGGTAAACACGCGGTGACGGCATGTACTGGCAAACGTACGTGCACAGCATGTGGCAGCAAGCACCACACCACCCTACACGATGCCTATAGTACTGCTGCTGGGGTCTCTACTACTAATGATGTTTCAGCAAAAACGGTGGCACATACTTCTCACAGCACCAAGGCGTCCAACCAGGCAGTGCTTCTTGCCACTGCGCGGACACTTGTGGATGACGTCCATGGCGAGCATCAGGCTGTCCGAGCCCTAATTGACCCTGCATCGGAGGTCTCCATTGTGACAGAGGCGGTAGCTCAACGATTGCGGCTTCCTCGCCTGCCTTTCGCCGTCACTATCTACGGAGTTGGAGGTCAGCGCACTGGAAAGGCGAAGGGTAAGGTGATGATCACCGTGCGCTCCAGAACGAGCAACTTCTCGCTCGAAGTGAAGGCGCTTATTCTTCCGCAGCTAACGGCGCGAGCGTCACGAGTGGATGCTGAGACAATTACGTGGCCGCATCTTCAGGGTATCCGGTTGGCTGACTCTACGTTTTTAGAAGGCGATCCGATCGAGCTGCTCCTTGGGGCCGACGTATACGCATCCATCATGAAACAGGGGATGCGTAAGGGCGCTCCAAGCCAACCGTTGGCACAGCAGACCACCTTCGAATGGATCTTGTCGGGAGTCGTGTGCGCTGTCGGCAACAGTGATAGCGCAACGACGTTACAGTGCACTGTCGGCGAGGATCTAAACACCGTGGTAAGACGGTTCTGGGAACAGGAGGAGCTGCCCGAACCATCAAGGATCCTGTCTAGGGAGGAGCAACAGTGTGAGGAAATCTTCGTGCGTACGCATCAGTGCGGCGCTGACGGACGATACCTGGTGCGTCTTCCCGTGGTTGGCTCCTTGCCAGACTTTGCTAGCTCCCACCGCGTGGCCTTGCGGTGTCTGAATCACATGGAGAAGCGCTTCCAAAGGGATCCAACGTTGCAAGAGCAGTATCAGGGGTTCATGCGGGAGTATGAGTCGCTCGGGCACATGATACCCGCTGAACCGCTCGTCGAGGGTCAACGAGGCTGTTTTCTTCCGCATCACGAAGTGCTCAAGGCCTCCAGCACCACGACCAAGTTGAGGGTCGTTTTCAACGGTTCGTCACCGGGAGCCAATGGAGACACTCTCAATCGCCACTTGAGCGTCGGCGCGAACTTGCTACCTGCGATTTCCGACATCCTGACCAGGTGGAGAAGGCACAAGTAAGTCATGGTGGCCGACATTGAGAAGATGTACCGGCAAGTCCTGGTGCATCCGGAGGATCAAGACTTGCAACGCATCCTCTGGAGAAACAGCCCGGGTGAGCCGGCGCAGAAATACAAACTGACTACAGTCACATATGGGTTATCTTGTGCTCCTTACCTCGCTATGCGAACACTGCGACAATTGGCCGAAGACGAGGGATCGAGCTTCCCATTGGGGGCAGCCGCCCTTAGGGAGGACTCGTATGTGGATGACGTCCTGACGGGTGCGGACTCTTTGGAGAATGGCATCAGCATCCGCAGGAAACTGACTCAGCTATGCATGGCGGGCGGATTCCCATTGCGGAAATAGGCGGCTAATTGCGAGGATCTTCTTCAGGGGGTCCCCTCAGAACATAGAGCGCAACCGCTGCGTCACACGCTGGAATCATGCGCCATCTTGATTGGGATCAACCTCTTGAAGAAACTGACGCCGCGGCGTGGCAGCAGCTTCAGGAAGGCCTGCCGCAACTGGAGCGGGTGAGAGTGTCTCGAGGGCTGCGAACCGTGTCCGACCTTACTAAGATCCATGGCTTCGTGGACGCATCCGAGAGGGCCTACGCGGCTGTGATCTATTTGCGCAGCCTGGATGACCACGGAAGAGTCTCGACGTCTTTGATTGCATCGAAGACAAAGGTCGCGCCTATCAAGCAGGTGTCATTGCCTCGACTGGAGCTGTGCGCGGCCACGCTGTTGACCCGGCTAGCTTCTCATTTCGGGGCACTTCTGAGCGTTCCAGTAAAAGACGTGCACCTGTGGACGGATTCTAAGGTCACACTGAGTTGGATTCAAAGACATCCCGTTTGCTGGAAGACATACGTGGCTAATCGCGTTTCAGAAATTCAACGGACATTACCTGAGGCCCGATGGCATCACGTTAAGGGCGTCGAGAATCCAGCAGATTGCGCTTCCAGGGGGTTGACTCCTGGAAAACTTCTCAAGCACGAACTGTGGTGGCAGGGTCCTTCCTGGCTGACGACATCAAGCCTCAACTGGACAGCGGAGCCCACGTGTCGGCCAATGGACGAACCACCGGAAGCCAGGACAACCATTCACGCTGTCGAGGCAAGAACAGACGCTGAAATGGAGAAGCTCACACGATTCTCGTCATTGCATCGATTGTTGAGGGTCACTGCGTGGTGTCTCCGATGGCTGAAGGCAGATCGTGGGCGGCATGGAGAGCTGCTGTCCACGTTGGAAATCAGAGAGGCTCAAGCACGATGGATCACCATTGTTCAAGGACAGGCCTACCCCACGGAGATAAGGCTACTGAGAGAAAACAGAGCCGGCGGCGTCCGGGGTCCGCTCAGCAAATTGACGCCCTTCATCGATGCGGATAGAATGGTCAGAGTTGGCGGTCGGCTGAAGCATTCTCTTCTTAGCTTCAATAAGAAGCACCCGGTGATACTTCCGCATGACTCACACTTCACCACCCTGTGCGTAACTGCCTGTCATTATTGAACACTCCACGGGGGAGTGCAGCTGACCTTGGGATTGTTGAGGCAACAGTTCTGGATACCACGCGGCAGAATGGTGGTCAAGCAACGCATTCGCGAGTGCATCACATGTACGCGATGGCGGGAGGCATCTCCACAACCGTTGATAGGCAACTTGCCGACGAGCCGGGTCACTCCTGGACGACCCTTCCTGGACACTGGAGTGGATTACGCAGGGCCGGTGCCGATGCGCACTTCCCCAGGTCGTGGACAACGAGGTCGCAAGGGATTCATCGCAGTCTTCATCTGCCTCGCCACGCGAGCAGTCCATCTCGAGGCAGTGTCGGACTGTACCACGGATGGATTCCTGGCAGCATTTCGACGATTCGTGTCCCGGCGAGGCATGTGCAGAACAATGCACAGCGACTGCGGCACGAATTTTGTTGGAGCCGATGCTCAGCTGCAAAACATGTTTCGGGCTACCAGTGCCGAGGCACGCCACATAGCAGAGAGGGTTGCCCACGAGGGAGTGGAGTGGCGATTCAATCCTCCGGCGTCGCCTCATTTCGGTGGTGTCTGGGAGGCAGCGGTGAAATCAATGAAGTTTTACCTGCGTCGCGTCATAGGCGAAGCGGTGCTGACATATGAGGAGATTGCCACGCTCCTCTCTGAGATAGAAGCATGCCTCAACTCTCGACCATTGCAGGCTCTTACAGACGACCCGGAGGACCTGACGGCACTCACCCCTGGTCATTTCCTCATCGGAGCCCCTCTGATGGCCGTGCCCAAACCATCACTAACAAAGATACCTGCGAATCGATTGACCCGGTGGAAACTGCTGCAGCAAATGAGGGATCACCTATGGCAACGATGGTCACACGAATACCTGCAAGGATTGTTTCCCAGGATGAAGTGGACTAAGGACGAGCTCAACATCAAGGAGGGTCAGCTGTGTCTCATCCGGAATGAGTCAACACCTCCGTGTCACTATTGTGACACCCTCGACGACACTCACATTCGGAAGGTGAAATATTCTCCGCGAGTTCGTGTACATAATAATATTAATATGACCTTGAATAGCACTATCAAAAACACATAAAAATTACTTTAAATTTTTTAAATAAAACTCCCTATTTTTTATTATACATATATGTTTGTAGTTTATCTCGAGAGCTTTTCAAAACACTATAATAACATTATTTTCTATTAAGTATTATCCGAATTATGAGACTTGAAGTTTACAGTATTTTGACAAAATATAAAATATCATGTGAAAATTTAATTTTCGACAATCTTACCTTAATACTTTTATGCACAGAATAATGAGAACAATCAATTAGTGTAAAGAAAACATACATATAATTGATTTTTAAAGAAAATGTTGCTAATTACATACTTTTTTTAAAAGTAACTGTGTTTTCTTTACAGTAATTGATTGTTCTCATTATTCTATGCAAAGAAGTATTAAGATAAGGTTACAGAAAACTAAATTTTTACATGATATTTTATATTTTATGTCAAAATACTGTAAACTTCAAGTCTCATAACTCGGAAAGTGCTTAATGGAAAATAATTTTACAATATTATAGTGTTTTGAAAAGCTCTTAAGGTAATCTGTAAGAACATGTAATAAAAAATAGAGGGTTTCATTAAAAAAATTTGAAGTAATTTTTATGTGTCCTTTGTATTGTGTTTTGATGGTGCTATGTAAGATCATATATTAATCTTAATATATAAACTTGGCAAAATTGATTTCGACGTAACTAGCAATTTTATGCAATACTTTCACGACGTTTCGACCATTTGGTTGTGGTCCTTATCAAGTGAGAATTCTATCAATTAAAATGAGATTAAAGCAACATAAAACCGATCTTATATAAAATTAATAGTTAAAAGAGAAACACGTCCCATCGCTATGATGTTTTGTCAACGACCCGTTGAGTATACGACTCATTTTAATTGATGGAATTCTCACTTGATAAGGACCACAACCAAATGGTCGAAACGTCGTGAAAGTATTGAATAAAATTGCTAGTTACGTCGAAATCAATTTTGCTAAGTTTATTTTCACCACTAGCGTCAAATATTAATTTTGATTGATCTTAATATATAAAACCAAGCGTGTGTATGTGTGTATGTGTGTGTGTCCTGACTGACTCACTCATCAATGCCCAACCCAAACCTTTGGACCTAAAAAGTTGAAATTTGGGGGGTGTATACCTTGCATGGCGTAGGGACACTAACAATGGATTTTGCTCCAATCAATCCCTAAGGGGTAAAAGGGGGAAATGTGTTTTTACGGATTTCTTAATATCTCCGAAGCCTGATAAGATATAGACTTTGCTCTTGCTTAGAAAAGTTACCTATGCAAATACCTAAAAATCAATTTCTGCATTTTATCTCAATCATTCCCCAAGGGATGAAAAGGGGAAAAATGTCTTTTTACAAATTTCTCAATATTTCCAAAGTCTGATGAGATATAGAGTTAGTTATTGCTTACAAAAGTTACTCATACAAATATCTGAAAATAAATTTTTGCATTTTACCCCAATCATCTCTTATGGGGATAAAAAGAGGAAATTGGTTTTTAAGAATTTCTCAATATTTCCGAAACCTCATAAAATATAGATTTTATAATTGCTTACAAAAATTATCCATACAAATACCACAAAATCTAAATCAGTGTGCTCGGAATTAGTTGTCCTTATTGAGCCAATATCAGAAACGACGCCTTCGATTGACGACCGAGTTGCCGATCACTCGGGCAACGCTATGTCTTAAGGCAACGCTATGTCTTCCTATACAAAAAGTATGTTAGGATTGTATCTTTTGCAAAATAGTTATTATTTTGTTAATATATGTTTAAAATAGATTACATTTATAATTATATTAATAATAGAAGTTTTAATATTTAATTGTTATTAAATAAAAATAAAAATTATGTAACAAAAAAATAACGATTTGGCGGAAGGTACAATCCCAGCATACTTTTTGTATAGCGTCACTCAAGCTTGTAGCTTGACAATTGAGCCTTGAACGGTAGTGGGAGGAGGAGGGGGGGGGGGGCAAAGACGTTGTTTCTGATATCGGCTCGAAAAGAGCAACAAATTCCGAGCTGATCTAAATAAATTCAATACACGCGCGCTATACTTGAATTTAAACAAATTGATTTTTTTCCGAATATAATGACTGTGGCAATCGTTTATTCGACTAAATGTAATGCCTGTGGCAATCGAATCACATAGTAAGAATAAATCTTATATTAGTTCTCCCGTCATGGCTTCGCCTGAACTCTTCATGTATAAAATTCGAAATTTATAAAAGTTTATTTACGACAATACGTAATGTCATACAATGATCTACTTAAGGACTTCTTTGTAGACTATGTTGGTATGTAGTTTTACCCTCAGGTATCAAGATTACTAGACTACTGGGTGAATTAACTCAAGAGCAGGCCATGTAGAATTACCTATGTGAGAAGTAACTCTGTCTTAAATTAATTCCTGCCACTTTTAGCGACTGTCCTTGAGACTTATTTATTGTCATAGCAAAGCAAATTTTTAATGGGAACTGCAGCCTTTTAAATTCAAACGGATAGTCTGATAGTGTGAGTGGTATACGTGGTATGAACACTGACTCTCCTATGGCACAGCCGGTAAACAGTGTTGCTTCGATTACGTTTCTTTGGAGGATTTTCACTCGAGAAATTTCAAATTCTATATATAAAAAGTTTTGGCGAAGCCGTGACGAGGGAACTCTAGTATTATGTTCTCTTTAAAACCCTACAACTTTTGTAGGAAACATTTTTTTTCTAAAATGCACTGTTTACAAAATGTTCCACCTGTTACGTTTGAAATTTAACACCTTGTATATAGTGTGCACATGTGCACTGTATGGTCAATAGCAACGTAGTTAAATGCGACGCATGGTCAATATCAACATGGTCAATAGCAACGTAATTGAAGGTATCTGTGGTCAATAAAAACGTAGTAGTCAAAAGAGACGGTTGCATGATTCAAGGTCCATATATTAAAAACGTCTTATTGAAGTCATTTAGAGTTGAAATTGTCTAATAAATATACGTATATCCGAAAATGTTTCCTAACAGAACCATTGAAAGCTGAATATTTCTTCTTCGTTCGTGAATATTTTTCAAAAAGAAAGTAAAAGGATATTATTTTAACAAGGATAGAGAATCTATTGCTATGAGAGCCAATTACAATATAATGCTTAGCGAATTTGCCAAGATGAGGAACAATCTCAAATCGAGATTTATAAGTTCCTCTTTCCTCCTAACAAACCTCCTAAAATTTCCTAAAATTAAGAAAGAGTAGTTGCCCGGTAAGCGGAAGGTCTCGGGTTTGATTCCCGATTCAGCCGACTTTTTCGGACCAATATATTTTTCTCGTCTTTATTAATTTTAGGAAATTTTAGGAGGTTTGTTAGGAGGAAAGAGGAACTTATAAATCTCGATTTGAGATGTTCCTCATCTTGGCAAATTTGCTAAGCATTATATATTGGCTCTCATAGCAATAGATTCTCTATCCTTGTTATTTACAATAAGAGCGATCTAGCCATATCATTCGATATTATTTTAACTTATTTATTTAGTAAAAAATTAAAAATTATAAATGTGTTACAAACTTTGTTCAAAATTATTTCCTATAAATGCAAAACTTTACTCTCTATAAAAATATTCAAAAGCTCATTTTGCCATACCAGAATTTTTTATTTGCGTTACCGCATACATAATTCTGTTCAAGTTTATCCCTATTGAAAACTATTAAATAACAAAAAGTGTAAACAATATCAGATTGACAGAAAATATTTTAAATAGTCACATCAATTGGATTTCCGGTCCGGTGCACGAGGTAATTAAGCAGTAGAGAGTGAGTGTGATTTTCCGG